TTTACGGTTTGCCGCGTGCGCCTCAGCCGGTGTTAATTGCGCAGCGTGTCTGCATTGACCATTTACTGTGCAGCTCCGCCAGGAATGATCATGCGGCTGGCTGGGCGGAGCGTGATCGAAGTATTTGCTGTAATATTCATTTCCTGTTTCTTGGACCGGCACAGGTGCACATGCATGTGGGGTCCAGGGAGGACGGGTTAAGAAGCTACCTGCCATACAGGCATTTTAAATATTGCGGTGGCTGCGTTGCGGCTGCTTAGCGATGTTGCTGGCTCCCCTGTGTTCTGCACGAATATGGGTGGAGCGGCGAACGCGGCCGAGCCGATGTGCGCGCGGCTGCTCGCAAACTGTAATGGCGCGCATTAAGGTTTCGAATCACTTATCGATTGTGCTCCTGTGAACTGAGGTGTCTGTGAACTTTCGTTCTTGTTTCGGATTTTTTGAATTTGAACTAAAATGTTTCATACTATCGACACATCACCATCCTGGGCTCAGTATCAGCACGTAGACACAATAAACGATCGAATAATTGCGATCGGTTTCAATCATCGAGAGCACCATGCAAAAAAAAACATTCAAACAGAAACAAATGAAATGTGTAGACTCTGTGGAATCGTAGAATCCAAACGTATGGTCGTGCTTCTATGGCGCTGACGTGCTGTACGCGATCAAGAATTCCTTTGCAGATTGCCCATGAGAAATAATCTCTGAAATAGGATGTCATTTCAAAGAAAAAGTATTACAGAAATGATAAGCTATCTAATACAATGAACGACTCTCTTCGAGAAGAATTCGGTTGTTCATATTACCCAAAAACCCAGTATTGCCGTTTCGATGCCATTGCTACTATAGACTTTTTTCACTTGCTTAGGAGAAAAAAACTTGAAAGTGTTGTGCCCTCACAGGCAGCCAATCCAGTCGTTTATTGAACCAAGACGAATGAATGATCATACTCAGGGAATGACCCTTTTATACACAATGATAAACATATTATTGTATAGACTACTATCATTCCCCAACAGAAAGTTTACAAGGAGAGCTTGAAACGTAAAGCCCATCACGAGTATTCGAAACAAGAACGAAAGTTCACAGACACCTCAGTTCACAGGAGCACAATCAATAAGTGCTTCGAAACCTTAATGCGCGCCATTACAGTTTGCGCGCCCCATGCAACGCAGCCGCGCGCAAATTGGCTCGGCGGCGTTCGTCGCAGATTTGCCGCGGCTCCACCCATATTCGTGCAGAACGTAGGGGAGCCGATGTTGCTTATAATGCTATATTTGTCATGTAAATGGTTGAGATTTTGAATATCGTTCGCAGCTTTTGCGCGCCTCTGCTTTTCTTGTAACAGCAGTCACAATGTAAGCAAATTGTGTAAAACGGATTGAGACTTCCTTCACACATTGGGGTGTGGCAGCGGCGAACGCGGCCGAGTCGGCATTGCTTCTGCTGCGCGGGTAATTTGAAAACGCTCCATCAACGCTGTTGGCTGGCACCTTGTGAAGCGTTTTCAAATTTACTCGCGCAGTGAAAGCAATACCGAACTCAGCCGCGCTTGCCGCGGCCACACCCCATTCTGTGATGAAAGTTTTGGAGCCGTGTAGGAACGAGTATAGGGACGCCCGGATACGTTCCCATTCTCGTTTTTACACAATTCAATTAGTTCACTACGTCATTTTTTCAATTTTTCAGTAAGAAGAAACTGCACAAGTGATGTTTAGGGATTTCAACAGCATTTAGCAGCATCGAAGCACTTGGCTCCCAGACAATACCTAACCGATTGGGCGGGGCCGCGGCGAACGCGGCCGAGTCGATTGTGTCCGCGAACCGTTGAAAACGCACTCGAGGTGCCCGCGAAGTGCTCTGCTGAGTTCGCGGGCACCTATCAACTCGGCCGCGTTCGCCGCGGCCGCGCCCAAATGGTTAGGTATTGTCTGGGAGCCGAAGCACTTTTTTGTGGTGATTATCGGTCTCGTTTGGATGGGAGACGGGTGCTAACTTATTGGGGGGGGGCCACGCGGCGGCGCGGCGGTTTGCTCACCTGGCATCTTCGGAAATCCGTGAGCCAGGGGGAGTGTTGCCAGTCTAGGGGGTGGGGTGGGGGCAGTCACTTGACATGCGTGAAAATCTGGAATGTTCGATTTACACTGCCTCGTCAGAGCGAGCCCAGGTGAGCAGACTGCCGCGCCGCCGCGTGGCCCCCCCCCCAACTAAGTTAGCACCGGGAGACGTTCTTCTTCGCCTAGGATCGGCTTCCTAGCGTTGTCCGGTGAAAACCGACTGGCCACCTGCCTCCAGCCTTGGGGACAACGAGGTGATCTCCATGCGATGGGACTGTGCGCAATCCGCTACGCGTCGCTGTCGCGATTGCACAATCGCGGAGTTTGACGTCTTCTTGGCCTAGCTCCTGCTGAGTGGGTCACATGACGAGCAGTCAAATCGTGACTTAGAGGTGCTGCTGCTTTTCGAGCCAACAGTCTGCATTTTGAGTTTTAGTGCCATTCGTCTGCTTTTCCGACTTTCGTTCGCGCCACATGCATTCGCTCATAATCACGCATTCTAGATCATCGCATTGGCAAAGATGAAGTGAAACTCCCCGTACTAGTGTACCGCTGCCATTTTACCCTCTCGGAAAACAAGGAGGGTTTTGAGTGCAGACCACACACCACAGGTGACGACGGCAGTGAGAAAGTGGCTTACTTTTTTCTATTTCCTTGGCCGTCGTAACTTGTGGAGTGTAGTCCGTACTCAACACCCGGAAGAGGATATTCCAACTGGCCGCGCGACGGCGCAGTTGTGAGGGCTCCGGGGACTAATTGTAAGCTTAGGAATGGGTAGAAACCCCTGGAGTTCCTCCCCCGCTGAGCGTCACCTCAGTCTTCAGTTGTCTGTTTTGTCGCAGACGAGCAGAGCGTCGCGCAGCTGCGTGGCCCCGCGCAATTACGTAAAACCGATTTCAGAGTTTGCGAATCGAGCGATTAGCTAGCGAATGGATCCAAGCGTTGCACCAGCGAATCGAACGTTGCACCAGCGAATCGAACTTGTCGCCAGCGAACCGAGCTTTGCGCCAGCGAATCGACCGGTGCACCAGCGAGTCGAACTATGTACCAGCGAGTCGACACTGTTTGAAAGTGGCGGGCCTTCCTTTAAATTTTCAGTCGCGTCACTTTCAAAAAGTGCTGAGTCGCTGGTGCATCGGTCGACTCGCTATTGCATCGGTCGATTCATTGGCGCAAAGTTCGACTCACTGGTGCAAGGTTCGATAGGCTGGCGCAACGGTCGGATCCAGCGATCTAGCGAATGGCGACCTCGTGTTTGTTACAGTTTTTCTTCAGTTACAGTTTTTCTTCTCTATCGTATACGCTTCCTCCCTTTCCCACTTCCCACGTAGATTCCTTTCCGCTTATGAGAGTTCACATTGTCACCGGACAGTGACGACTATCGATTCTAGGGATACAGTTCATATCTCGAGGAGTGATGGGGCGTGTCACCGGTGACGTGGCGGCCACCGCACTTGATAAATGTCGTATGTATAAAATACTCCGCCAGATATCAGCAAAGTGTGTTGGAAGCAGCATATCCGCGTAACTTGTACCAAGTGCGGTGGGTGCCACGTTATTTCCAGTGACACGCCCAATCAGACTTTGGGATGTGGACTTTAGGTTTACTGTCTCCCGCAGTGCATTTGCAGAATTGACGCGGCATCAAATCAAGAGCATAAAGCAACACCCTAGGATCGAATTTTTGGAGTAACAGCGGTTGATAGTGAAGTTGTGGATGTCGGATTGGCCAAAAATGAAAAAAGAAGCAAAGAAAGCAGTCGATGAAGCCCAAAGCAAGAATTATCCTTGAGAAAGGATGGGGTTAGGCGGACGAGTTGTACGAGCTCGCCTGCTCCACGGCTCAACTAACCCATGCGTTTTTGAATTAGGCGTTATGCCGTAATCCACGTTGCGTGTCATGGGGTGTGCGCGACGCCGCTCGACCATATGCGAAGACTAGTTGCCAAATGCTGACTTTGTAAGACGCTAGAGCCATTGTCACGTACTTTTGAGCCGCGACAGCGGCTTATTTCTGATTCTCGTCGGCTACTATATGCCGCCTACTGAGTAGATTCTTTGACCGGTATGGAGCATCAACCTTTGTGACGAAACCTGCATAGTAAGAATGCGTGGGCCAGGGGAATGGGGGCGAATTCGGAAGGGGGGGGGGGTGTGTAAGCCACTTAACCTGTAGCAAAAGTTCGGGCCTTAGGTCTGGTGTCTGGCCTTGTGAAGGAGACGCAGAGGAGCAAAAGGATTAGATGTCACAACACGCTTTGACACTACTTGACTTGCTGCTTCAAGCACCGTGATATTATCTTTTCATCAAGAATTCAATCACATGTGTCACGTCATGCGTTTGGTCGACGGACTACTGAACTCAGCCCTTTAAACCGCCTCTGCGCCTCTCGTGGGTCCCTCTCCTCTCCAAGGCTCAGTCCTAGGGCATTCACCCGTTCTTCAATTCTCTGTGCTCTAGCCATCCCTGCAGGACCATTGAGGAAAAATCAAGTTGTCTGTAACCGTGTCACTTCATGCGTTTCATTGCAGAAAGAGCGTTTGTCGTAGATTCCTGTGTGATACAAGTCCAGAACCTTCAATATTCATGAATATCATTGTGGTGGCTCCCAAACAATACAAAAATAAAAAATACCTAACCATTTGGGCGCGGCCGCGACGAACGCGGCCGAGTTGATAGGTGCCGCGAACTCAGCACGAGCATAGTTCGCGTGGCACCTGGAGTGCGTTTCGGCGGTTCGCGGGCACGATCGACATCGCCCGTTCGCCCGTCCCGCCGCCAAATGGTTAGATATTGTCTGGGAGCTCATTGTGGTGTCTAAACTTGACACTTTTTGCTAGAGGCTAGATAAGAATAAAAGACGCTCATTAGCACCATTCAACTTGATTTTCACAGAATAATGTAGAGAACATGTGTGTGGAGGATTTCTTACATTACAGATGGATAAACCAGAGCTATCCCATCATGTTGCATTTCATGTTCCCGAGCAGGAGCATGATACTATACATTTGAGGCCGCCTGCAATCAGTTTGCGATCAATGAGCAAAAGCGATCCTCATCTATGCGTTCCACATCTTCTAGTAAGTCAGGACGAAGGTAAATAAGTTAGATTAAATCACCACGAGTACCACTTCTCTGGTTTTCTTCTGAATTCAAAAGAAAGTTTTTTTTAGCTCATCCTTCACTCAATCGTATTGTATCTGGCCTGTTCCACGTTGACAATGCTCTTCGCACTCCAAATGCTTCATGCGGAAATCTTGAGGTACTGATCAATAGAATTGTTATGTGTTCATCTAAATTAATGGTCACATTCCCCGGCTTTCCAGGCGTAATGCATAGAGGATCTTTTTACTGTTCTGCATTGATGTAGCTAAGTTATTATAACTGCCGCAGCATCTGCAGTGAAGGTGCAACAATGTCATATCCAGAACTTAGCTGCTGAAATACATGTGGATTGACCTGTGCGTGTGTTGGGTGCAGTCCTCCTTTTACGATTACTAGTAATTTCCAGTGTTTGTCCTTCTAATGCTTTTTAATGATTAGATTCTGATGGAGTTTGCAGGGGTGTGGGAGCGTAATTCGTACGCATGGAGGGAAAAGGTTGAGAAATCCGTCGTGAAACAGAAAAGAGGACCCCCCTTGTCTGACCGTTGGTCTTCGCTCGTCGAAGGGGAGGATTCAAGATCGGTGGGGGAACTCACAATTGGTCATTTCCGACAAGAAAGTAGTTTTGCAATTGCGCCCAATCAGCTTGTTGAGCGTTCTTTAGAAGGTGTTCATCAGGACCATCCTTACCGCGATCACTGAATGGAGCGCAACCTAACGAGTCAGTCGCCATGGCCACAGAAATGTTTCGAGATTCCGAATGCCTCTTGTCCTAACTTTTGTTGACTTCGACGTTCTTGAGAAAACGTCGAAGCGAACGCGATCCTTTCAACACTAGTCGACGGGGTGGAAACATTATGTACAAATATTTATATGACAGAAGGATAATGGCCGATTGCAATTGTCACTGCGCCGCAACAGCATAGCTTTTCCAACGACCTCTCATCATTCCTGTAAAGACGTGAGACAATACGACACTATCTCGCCAAAGTTGTTTACGGTTAAATTGCAGTGGGTAATGAAGTCGCTCGATTGGAGAAGGGCACTCGCGTGGGCGAACGGCACCTCTCGAATCTACCTTTTGTTTACGAAAGCGTTCTCTTTTCAAGTAGCACAATGGCGGCTGAGACGGTGCTCGCTGAAATGAATGAAGCAGGAAAGTAAGTAGGGTTGCGGATTAACCGAACAAAGACAGGTAATGAAGACGCTCGGTGTCGTGGAGGTGAATTAAGAATGGCAGACGCTTATCAAGGAGGCCTTAACCCACTTATCTTGGGCGTTTCATTAACGTGAACAACGACATGAAGGAAGAGCTAGGAGAGCTCGGAGAGCAACGTGGGCTGCCTCCGGTATTTTGAAATAAGCAATCATCCACCCGGCTGATCTAGAATTTCGCTCGCATCTGTTTGATCCTAAAGTCCTGCTTGCGCTCTGTTGTGCGGCTGAAACATAGTTGAGCAGCGTATCCACGTCGAAGACCTTGTCTGCTGCTCGCCGAGCGCTTGAGGGACCTTTTGAGGTGTAATCGATACTCTCAGTAAATCATGCAGGACTCCGCAGCACAGACCTATCCAGAATGTCCCGTCTTCGTGACCCTCTGGAGTTCGTTACAAACTCCAAGTGTCGTTGGGGCGGTCATATCATGAGAAGAGATGGCGACAGATGGACAAGAAGAACGGCAGAGTGGTTTATGGTGCAAAAGAGACCTACTGCGAGATGGGGAGATGCGTCGTCAACCGCGTAAATCAGCTGCGAATGCAGCTCAATGCTTCTTCAGATCGCTGTCTTCGGCGTCCGACTTTTACATAAGCCATAGATGGCGGTTGCGAAAGACAGAAACGAATGGTTTGTGCTAGTGCTCGCTGATGAAATGAGAACGAGCCGTATAAATTCAAGTAATAAGCCTTGTCCATTTTGGTGCATTCATTTTCATTTATTCATTGATACCACATAATGTGGCAGTAGGGCGGAAGTGGTGTAGTGACAAGTGGCGCGCTTACCACGCGAGCGGTCCGGTGATCAAATCCTGGGTCGTGAGTCGCTTGGGCCAACCAAGCCTTCCATCCCTCCGGGGTCGGTCACTTGGTACCAGACTTGTCTGGGAGGATAAAAAACAGTGACTTGGACATCGGCTGGCCCCCGCAAGTCACTGTATAGGCCACATCGCATTCAAAAGCCACTGCGAATGTACAAATGGAAGTAGAATGCGTGCCGCATCCCAAAAGGGATTGATCAACGGCAAATGCTTTATCCTTTATTCTTTTAATGTGGCAGTGGAGTTCCCCTGTACGACTTCAGCAAAATTAGAGACATGCCCGGGATGAAACTGGTGTGTAAGAGCACTTTATTCAGAAACTCCACAATTGAGGGCCTTTTTTTTGGAAAGTCAGCTGCGGTACGAAGTGCAGCTTCATATTTCCACATCTGCCAGTCTCGAAAGGGACATGCTGCAAGAACCCTCTCCCCCTCATCACTGAAGAAAAATCGAAGAAGCGTTCCGGAAATAACGAACGAACAATGGCCAAGGTACCCTGTCCATAGAATCGTAGGTGGTCTCTACCTGACGCGGCTCTTCAACAATTGCATATAGAGCATATAGTTAATAACGACCAGATGCGTCGTTCTGCCTATCGTCAAGGCAAAGGAGTGATTGCCAGCAATATAAGAGCTGAAGAATCGCTGGAAATGAAAGGCTGTAGTGGAAACATTGCCAACTTTCTTGTTGCATTAGGGAGAAGAACCAGAATAAGAAGAACTTGTCATATTAGATTTGTAGCATGGAATAATTGTGTATTGAGCTTCTCGTGGCTGTGTTAAAAACAGTCAAAAATATTGTCATCACCGATGGGTTGTGCGTTAAATGTTGTGGAAAGAGTACGGCATTTTCATAAGCGGGACCGGCGCATGATTGTTTACGACGGTCTGTTGTTGTAGCCGTTAGCATGTATCATTGGAAGGGCATCAGAGGGGTTTGTTGTTTGACCATCGTATTCGTGTTAGAACCATCGGTACTATTCCACTGTTACAACCTCGAAATCTCGAAATTTGTATTTCCGTTGATACTTCGCCCATGGGGGTTATGCGGTGCCCTGGCAGCGAGTGTGACTTTTATCGGCGTTGGTTCCATTTCAAACATAATTTTTTTACCTATATAGCGCAACACATTTTTCATGCAATTCGCAACAAATTTATATTGTATTAAAATTCGGTATCGTGGCAACGGATGTAACATTTGTTTTGACATTATCTCAACCTAAGGGCATGACCCAGGATGAAATGCTGCTTGCACCACGATTACGTATACATCGCTGCAATGGGCCGCAAGTACTGCGGCTGTGCTAAGGCAATAAGAGATTGAGTGCCGGTAGGAGTGTATGAGTTGAGAGAGCGCAGCAGATGGGAGGGCACCGGACAACAGCCTGCTGTTGACGGGAAAGGTTGCAGCTTCTGCAGCTTATTTCGCAGGTCCCTAGTGCCCTTTTCGCTGGTTTCCATACACTGACTTGTGCATCGGCTGGCTCTCCAATGCACTAGGCCAGACAGTATCCGAATGCCATTACGATTCTGAATAGTAGCGCAATGGGTGGGGGCATTCAAAAAGGGGATGATTAGACCGCCGTCACACTCGGCGACAGACAAGCGATGGAGCGACGCGATCGCTCCATCACTTGTCTGTCGCCGAGTGTGACGGCGGTCTTAGTGCCGGATTCTTTATCGTCTACGTTTTTTAGTGTCTTTCTTTGTAGCAGTTCTTTTCTCAAAATTGGTAGGGTTTGTTGCGACAGTATAAGCGGTTCGTTGTTAGACTAGTTAAGCATGGACTTCCTTGAGTATGGAAACCAACTCTGGGCAGATTTCGCATTTGCTTTTCCTCAGAAAGTTGGATACCATATGAGTTTGTCTGATCTTGTCGTATTTTATATTGAATTGCGGATTATCACTGACCCCTATCGATAACCGCAATTTCCATGATTGTGTGATTAATCTTACAAATATTTGAATACCCTCCTTATCGCCATTCGTCGGTGTCACTTGAGCACTCATCACGAGTGTAGACGCAGTTGAAGAGGCCTGCAGTACAAAGTCTTCAGAGCAGTGCTTTTTATACATGATAGTGCGTACACGCCATTGAGCATAATCGCTGAGCAAGCTGAGTTGTTGTGCAGAGTTTTCATGCTAGAAAGTCGTTACCTTGAATCAAATAGCGAGTTGACCTCCAAATTAACTCACCCACCCCTCGAATTGTACATGGTTACCGCAATTTTTAGAAAATCAGTGCCTGTGTGTTTTTGTGCTAAGACAGGCTTCCTTGATTGGAAAACGAATTAGAAATCATGTCACACTGGGAAAAATATTGCTGAATATATTCAGTGGGAGCGTGTTGTACTTTCATAGTTACGTAGTTACTTTCCAATGTTACAGGTGGCGCATATTTTATTATTTTACGCAAAGAGCAATTTTCACGAATGTTCCCTCCCTTTTTGAACGTTTGGTGCTCGTTGCCATCGTTTAACACTTTGGGCAGCCGTGCCAACCTTTGCTTAAGCTGCAGCTGTGAAATCTCTTTCTTCTTATTTTTCTTTCTGATTTGCTCGATAAGGTGATTTAGTTCACTGCAGTTCAGCTGCCAAGGGTAAATCGAGCATAGGCTCCAAAGTGTTAAATGGTTTGCTGCTTTCATGTTTTCCTCATTTCTTAATTTTTATGCCTTGCATCAACAATCAATGGTTAACGACATGGGTTTTTCCAACACGTGAGTTTAATTGATTTTCTTGTCTTTTCTGCTTATTTTTGCTGAATCACCGTGATTTGTTCCCTTTTGTTTGCTGTGTGGCACTTCTGTTCTTTTTTTTTACATTCATGCTGAAGAAATATGACCGCGGCTAGCATATTTAAGTTCTGCTCTTGAGGCAGTTAAGAGTGGAGCTCACCTTTTCGAATATTCTTATATAAAATACCACTTCGAACGGATGAGCGGAGGTCTGAAGCAGCTCCCACTTGACGCTTTTTTTTGTTCATGGTTTTGTGTTGTTGCGTACATCAAGACCGAATTGGAAAATATTCACGATATTTCTGTAATTGGAGACACAACACTTGCTTTTTATCTATACTTTGACAAGCATGAAAGCTAGAGGAACACTTCGGCTCTATCATTGAAGTGGGGATGGGGAAGGGGTCATTGCGCGGTGCCTAAAGTGCTCTAAACCCAACATTGCTTAAGAGTCCTTTGAAGTTGTGAACATTCCCCCGCCATCATTTCGAGTTTTTTTTTGTATTTATGTCTTCATAATATAAACATTCAGAAAAAGTATAATCACCCAAGGTAAAAGTCAAAGTCGAACGATTAGTACCCTACTGCGGGTAACTGACGCACTCTCATTTTCGTTGTTTGAAGCGTTACTTGGATCCACCGTATCACGTTTGTGGTGAGACCACGAATTCGTTGCGACGTAATGCCAAGGCGTCATATCAGATGCACGAGAGCTAAGACAACGCCATATGTTTTCTCCATTTCCCTCCAGTTTTTCCATTTTTATCCCTTTCTTCAAGTAAGACGTCACCTTTTTAAACTTCTTATACAGCGGGTTCCACAATTTTGTTTATAATCTGTACCAGGAATCAAATAATAATCAGCTGTGCATGGGCTTGTACGGCCGCATCGATTGATGGCGTGGACAGCAATTTGGGAACTCGTTCGAACACGCGCGCCTGCCAACCTGACCTCGTACAATATTTTGCAAAAAGACGCCTTATTTATGGTTTTGTGGGTGCTTCCTTTTGTTTTTTCTTCATTGGCTAGCCCTTTAGCACCTACAGTTTATATCCGAATGCCGTTACCTCACTGCTGTGTTAGTGGGGGGGGGGGGACAGGGTAAATTAATCGCTCACGAGAATCGGTGACTCTGTTACCCTTACACTCAGTAGTTTAGTTCAGTTTTTTCTGGATGATCACAAGAAAAAGCGAAGTTTCGCGTTCGTTTTAGATCAGTTCCAAAAATCGAAAATTTCGACTAGTCGAAGCTTTCGCTATGGAAATTTAGCAATCGCTGGCTACGGAATAATGGCTTCCAGTTAGTTCCCGGTTCTGACAAGAGTTTAATAATCGTCATTTACTTATCTGTTCCATCGAACATTCATGTTTAAACATTCAAGATGTCTACATGTCAGAGATTTTCACATTAGACTTTGATTTCCTTCCTGCAAAAACTTGCTTCACCCTTGAATGCACATGTCAAGCGCTCCATTACAATGGATCTTGGCCCACTTTTCCAGCCTTATCCTCTAGAGTGACTTCTTCCAGAGCGTTTTATCCTCAAAATTTCAATTTTTCCACTGGTGTTCGTATATCAATGAGGCAGAGAAAGGGATGGAGGAAGGTCCAGCTTTTGTAAGGGAAGTCCTGTATCATTCGTTACCGACATAAATGTCAGCAATAAGTTTAATAAGTAATCAGTAAATTTTACCTAAACGGCAGAAAAACCTTTTGAGAGCAATTGTGACACCCCCACCCACTTATTCGAAGCTTCATGGCATAGCATCCTTTTCACTGTCGTAACGTCATCGTGCCAGGAGAACTTAGCTTGTAGTGACTTATAATGCCATCTCATTTCTAAACTGCTGAGCATGATGATACTTCCACCTATAGCTACTCCAAAAGTCTTCATTCCAAAAAGGCCAAAGTGAAAATGTATGCATAAAAACATGACCCTTTGGTGGTGCACTTTTCGTACAAATATTGAATCACGAGAGAACCGTCTGCCTGAATCGGGCCTTTACAATAGAGCGAAGCGACTTGAACTTTTCTCAAACTTTAATCGCCTCCGTCAAGCTGTATGGATTGAAGGAGCTTCCATGGAGGAGACGTTAATCTTTTGAAGGTTGGTAATGTTGAGTTCAGCATCGGCTTTGACATTTAGGCTTTGAGATAGCATTTTTTGAAGTTCTCCTCTGCCAAAGACGTGAATGGAACGGACAAGGTGAAAGACGTACACCACATGATCACAATGTTGTTTGGGTGTTACCTTGACAGTAAAGTTTCATCACTTTTTTGGAAGGGCTACATTCCTGCCATGGGACGTATAAAATCAGCAATATCAACCGTTGCTGTTGGCTACTTCTTACCACCGTTCCGGCGGATCCTTTCGAAATACAGGCTGTCTCAAGTCAAAGTAGGACGTCAGTTCGAGTTTGGCTTATTGTTAGGCATGAATTGATGCTTTTCCTGTCCATATACCAATTTAACTCTGAGAACAACCACTATCCAGGGTACGGGAATGAGGAACTTGTCCACCTCTACTACTAGTGTTCGTTATTGACGTTTCTTGCAGTCTGCGGTGTGGCACTGTCATGCTGGAAGTAGTTTCTTCGAACAAATTTCCCTTCCAGCAGGAGCAGCGAAGGTTCTCAGTTGTAGCAGGAAATGTCGGCACTGATAATCACTTCCTCGTGAAGCAGCTCAAGATGCACAAGCCAGTTCTTCGATGCTGTAATCTCTGGCACTGACGTAGTGGTACACGCAGTATGCATGAGTAGTTTTGCCCTATGTTGCAACTAGTATGTACTGAATAGCCGTTTTCAGTGCAACGCTTCAGAAATTGTAGTCTGGAAGCCAACTTCTACGCGCTAGAGTTGATGGTCTTCCGTTGCTCAAATTCATGATAAGATAGATCACGTTTTGTTCAGTTGAACATTTCTCGTGACCCAAATCGTGGTACTTCAGAATTCTCGCACACGGCAGAACCACCGCCCTCATCGCAAAAGTGGTCTCTCCTTCGTGAGAAGCGAGCCTCAAGGTTAAGGACGGATTCCAGGCCGGTCACCAGTCGAAGTCGATCGCCTCTCATCAATTCATGGGAGGACGAGTTTACAAAACATCGACGAAAAATAAACCATAGAACATCCCAATTCTCAAATCCGCAACAGAATACACAATAGAGTACTATCGAAAACCGCTCTGCCATCTAAATCCATGATTAGTTGTGATATTGTGGTAGAGCAGATTATGGTCTGCATCAACCGCGTGCTCAACTGAGCTAGGGTTCTCTCTTGTTCCGCGAATATTTCTTGCTTTGAAGCAAAGAAAACAAAAATGCATCAAAAAAACTGAGGAGAAGGAAGGAATTTCGGCCCTAGCATCAAAATAACTGGGAGCTGATGGTATTTATTGCTATATCGGGCGTGTCGTTGTGTTGTTCACTGATTGTAAACTATTTGCATGCATATTTCTGAGCTTTCAAATTTCAGGTCCTCGGCCGTTTCTCAAGCTGCTACTCTCCGTAAATCTACTTCTGCAGTCGATTGGAGTGGGGTTGTGGGAGATGTACAGAAAAGGAATCTGAAGGTAAAATTATACCTAATAGTTAATAGTGAATGCCTCTCTAAAGTTATCATTTTTCTCGTTATTGTTTTATGCACTGATCCACTCTAAAGCAGGGTGAATAACGGTCGAGGATTCCCTCGACCATAGCTCTCTACCATGTGAGAGTAGTGCCGAGTGAACATCCGCGCGGAGAGCACAGACGGCACGCCCATGGCGAGTGTGAATGTGCGCGCGAGAGATGGTGTCTGATCGGGCAGAGAATCCTCGACGTGCCGTTGAGGAATCCTCAAGCGATATTTACCCTGCTCCAAAACAACCCTGTCTGCGTCCATTGGGTTGCGGTAGCCGGAATGTTTCACTGTCTGCAATCGCGTCTGGCTTTGCGAATCCAGCTCTTCGCCAGTGAATAGCTGGCATTGGCCTTACGCGGCAGTGTATTTTCACCAAATATGATGAAAACTTGCACTAAGGGCTTATTGGTGCTTCTGATAATGAGTAAGATACACATATTTGACGCTGACACCAACCACCGTCGATTTGGTGCTGGCCCCAAAAGTTAATGTCACATTCGTGATCATAGTTGCGTGTTATCCATTCACCGAAGTTTTCATCGAGTTTGGTGAATGAGTTGAGAGCGTTCAGCGCTGGCGCCAAGACTACATTGCGCCCCATAACTATAATTCCACTTTAGAATTTCCCAAAATCTCACAAATTTCGATGTTTTTTAAGAAGTCTCTCATGTGCAGTAATGTAAATTAATACGAAATTGCACATGAACATCAGCTTTCAACTTAAGACGACGGAATTTCTATCAATTTTTTGTGTCAAAGTCCACTTCGCCGATGTCCCAAATTTGTAACCCCATGTTTTTCATTCACTTTACAGTTCTGTTTCACGAAATTTTTTTATTGTGATAACATTTCATTTCTTGAGGGGGAGGTTGATAAAAGCTGCTATCGTACTTCGAAAAACCTGAGGTAGTCGCAGAACTGTTGCAATCGCGCGTGGTATGGACCAAATTCACGTTTTACTCAGGAATTCCCTCAGATAATAATCCCTCTTTGCTCCTATGTAGCAACCAAGGCAGTGTCACAAGAGAAACATCCACTTCTACCAAGCCATGCTCCGTCACCGAAGCTTCTTTATAACTTTATGTCTCAACGGGCTAATGTTTCATGCGTGTGAGGGAATCTCGTGTTTACTTGAGTGGAAAATATGGCAATAAATCGTGGCAAAAAGTGGGCCGGTTTTTGCATGAAAGGACGGTCGAGCCGATCGGTATAAGCTGGTATTGCTAGTATGTTCTAGCATTTGTTTGTTTTTCTCCTCATGTTTTTCTTTCATTTGATGACTTTTTATATCGCGAAGCACAGAACAGAAGAAGGAAAATGTAAAAAGAAAGACAAACAAACCATGCGTAGCAAGCAAAAACGGACCCTAATTAGTCAGCTCGACTGCATCTTCATGCCAAATTACGCCATGATTTCTTGACATGGATGACGCCTTCCACGTTTTCCACTCAAGTATAAACTTGAGATTCCTTCACACGCACGAAATTTTAGTCCGTCGCGAAGTAAAGTTTTAATGAAGATTTGAAGAAAAAGGTTTCTCTTGTAACATGGCCTTCGTTTTACACCATATCAAGTGTGCCTCAGGCTTGAGGGCCCGCGCACCCATGTGCTGAGATAGGTCGCATATTTTTTAAAATTTGTTCAACATTTGTTTTTAGCCGTATGGTTGGCACGAGACAGTAGGCAAAACTGCAACCGAACCTGCTCGTAGTGGTCTTCAGCTGGCATTGATGAATTCTGCACACAATCATGATGTAAGTGAAGCTTTGCTGTCAAACATGTTAACGTGGCGTTCGTGTAATTGGGGGGGGGGGAGGGCGACATTCAAGTAAGCGGACCTTTTACAGTGTTTAGGACTAAGATCAGTCAGGGAAAAATTTTGTGGGAGGATGTGAGCAATTAGTGTTTTCCCTGACGCTTGTCCTTGTACTTGTGGGTTTAGTCCTGTCGCCTATCATGGCACTGTTTTGAATGTCCCCCTAGCTTCGTTAACGTAATACATGTATGGAATATTCTGTGGATTCAGCCTTACCACTAGTGGTACACATATGTACCACCAAAATCTTCTTCGGATTCCCACACAACTCTGGTTTAATACCCCCCCCCCCACATCCACTGAGAAAAAACTTGTAAGTCGAATTTCAGTGACCAAATATCAAATTGTAATGGCACGTTTTTCTACTACTAGTAGTCCTAGTGTTAACTCCTGTAAGTGTTGAAACACACGCAAGAAGTGAGTGTTATTGATCGAAGTGTAGTGCTAAACGAAGTAGTCCTTGAATTTTAATTTTCCAACACGGGATGCACGTGCATGTTTAAAATCTGCTGGGCAATTCTCTTAACGAGGTTACCATTTTCACCGTACTTTGCGCTATCAAAAACGCTGATATTAAAGAATCTTCTCACAATTCGACTATCAAAGTAGGTGCCTCGTTTAGGCAGAGTTTATGGTTTGTGTACGTGTTAGACCTTTTTGTACGCTCGCGATACAATTATATGAATTCAGGAAGTAGTGATGGTACACTGTAATCCGTGTTGAGACTAAGACCTGCAGTATCATAAGCCTGAGTTCATGCGAACACATACAAACGGGTGGTTCATTAGAACAGAAAGCGACTTTTTCGCGTTTCGCTATAGGAACTTCAGGTCCGTTCATGATCAGCGATGGACCTGAGGTTTCCGCAGCGAGAAATGTTCCGCGTGCGGAAAATGAAAAAGTCGCCTTCTGCCCTAGTGAGCCACACCCCATACAAACTATCTGCATAAGCGTCGTTCGAAGGGCGTTTGCACTCGCTTATCACCGCCAGCATTGTATACGCTGTACGACTTTCCTAACTTCCTTAACATACAGTCTTCTGATCATGAATATGATATTTATTTTGATGCTGTATCGCAGTTCCTACATTGGAGCAAGAATCATGATTATGACATTTCGCTTTTTCTGCTCCGGCGCTAACCGATGTTAGTTTGGGTCCACTGACTTGGCATGTCACCCTGACTAGGATCTGATCCGTCGTTCAGACGTTATGAAAGTGGTCCATCCATCAGATTAACGGATGTACGCTATGAGAATTCTCCTAGTTGAAGACAAGTAGGTCGGGGAAGCTGGTATAACAACCAATCAAACCAGCATGATACGTTTTTGTTAACGAATTATGAGCTGCTTCAAAATTTGATGATATAACCATGACCGGAAGAACATTAAACATAATAACTTCAGTTGGTGATATTTCAGGAAAGCAATATGCACTTCAATAACATTTCCCCACCGCGTCTGCTACCATTTTGAAAACTTTAGTCTGCAATTTAGTGTAAACTTAAAGCAACAACCCCAGATCAGACTGATGGAGTAACTGCGTCGAGAATGAAATTGTGGATGTCGAACTGAATAAGAATGAAAAACTGCCGATGGAGCCATTAACAAGTCTTTTCCCCACACACCAGTCATTCGCTCTTTGCCTCCCTGAGGCCGATGTCATAGTTTGCGGATCGAGCGATTCGGCGAATCGCTGTATCCGAGCATTGCGCCAGCGAATCGAACGTTGCACTAGCGAATCGACCGATGCACCAGCGACTCAATAGTAGCGGGACCCAACGTTCAGAAGCCCGCCACTTTTAAGCAGTGTCCGCTATCAAGTCCCGCCACTTTCAAAAAGGGTCCACTGTCACGTGACACTGTTCGAAAGTAGCACCTTTGAACGTTGGGTGCCGTCACTGTTGAGTCGCTGGTACATAGTTCCACTCGCTGTTGCATCGGTCGATTCGCTGGTGCAACGCTCGGATCCAGCGATTCGCTAGCGAATCATTCGATTCGCAAACTATGACGTCGGCCCAAGGAAGAGCGGGATCGGCGAGTTGTTTGAACGTGCTTGCTTCACGGCTCCACAAACCGCGCGTATTTGAATTTGCCAGTACGCCGTAATCCACGTTCGTGTCAAGTGGTGTGCATGAGATATCCCATCCGTAAGTTCACATCAGTCACCACCAGATTACTTAGTAAGGGCCTTGCGCCATTGCCGCGCACTTTCAAGCCGCGACACAGCACACTGTGGTACTCGTGGACCACTTTATCCCACCCGCTGAATAGATTTTTTGACACGACCTCATCGGGGTTGTTGTCAAATGAAGTCGTTTTTCTTGTGTTGGTGTTGCAGCAATACTTGCGGAAGTTCTATAGTTCTGAAGGTGTGATTTTAAGGAAGGTCTTGTTATGAGCTGTTCTAACCACAACCGTGAGATAAAGGCTATGAATGCGCCGGCACATCGTCAAGAGCACGTTCCACATGGTCTTGTAGCTTCAGCTTCTTCTTTGAATTCGTCCAACGCTCCTCTCGAGGTACATTTTGTTGAATGGCATACAGTCATAGAGGTCTCTGCTTTTTATAATTACAGTTCCAAATGTATTCAATGAATTCAGAGTCATGGGGTGTTTGGTGGAGTATTCCATCGCGGCTTCTTCTCAAAACCCGTTGTACGCTCGGAAGAGGAAAACTATCGCTATCTTATGGCTCTCGACCGCTGAATGGCTCGTTTTATCTACCGAAATATTTTCAGTAGGCCTTTTGTATAGTGCATCATAGGCATATCCTTCAATTATTCTTCACCTCTGTTCCAAGTTTTCTTTCTAAGTTTTTGCTCACAGTGGGCTCAGTTGGTGCTATATTAGCACTTTTCGGCCCGAGCATTAAAATTGCTCGTTGGAACAAAAGAAGAAGTGAAAGGTATTGGCCTAAGTGGGCGATTGAGATGTACCATCTACATTGTATTTTCTGTTGCGTTCAAGGACTGATTACACATCTGACTTCCATATATACTAAGCGATGCTTTGAACAAAACATCCTTTCCATTCTTTTTCCACTGAAAAGGTTCCGTAAATTTGTTTACAGAATCATTTACCACATATGAAAGACAGATCTGAAATCATCTGAAGACACATTTGTTCAGTATACATCTTATTTGACACATTGACGGCAAGCGTTGGGTGAGTGTTAGTCTTTTTTTGAAATATTTCCTCATGTAAATTATTCTCCGCGCACAATTTCATTATGAATGGATATATTGCTTTCCTGATACGGTAACGCATATGGGCGGTTCTTAAATATGTCCAGTAGGATATAGTTCGACTAAACAAATCTCCTGGGCCATATGACCTGCGCTGTCGTCAATGTGTTAAAAAGGCCCATTTCAATTTTCTTACTTCCCCTCATAAGGACTAGTAAAATTTGAAATGCTTACGTTGGACGTCGCTCCTGTTTAGGGGTCACTTTTCATTGCACTTGATTGTATGCGAGGCAAAGGGATCTATTCAATTGGCGTTTGTGATTCTTAGTCTTGCAGATTGTTCACGGGTACGAGTATAGTATGCTCCTTATATCCCTTAGTGCATTCTCAGTTTTTTCTCCTTGATTGTGTGAAACTCTATTTGTTTAGATTCCACTTGAGTGCCGTGTCTGTTATAGATTTTATTTTGTTCTCTTTTCCTTATAAAATTTTGGCGCTATTCACCAACGGCTGCTTGCCTGTGGTTATTTTGTATTTTCAAAAAACTGTTTCCCAGAGGTTCGTTCACAGGGTAGATTGACCTTCTGACACGAACGTGTACTTGCTTGTCGCGAAAACGTGCCCCAAACGAGGACCACTGAGAACTGGGAAAGTTAGTGAGAGTTAAGGCAATTAAAATTTGCTAGAAACTGGCTTTTTGGGGATCTTGTGCGACGGAAGCAAATATTGCAAAAACTTTGCGTAGAAACATCGTACATTCCAGGGCTGGTTTTGGCAAGTGTGAATGACTGTGCCACTAAAAAGAGCTTGCACTTGCCAGTTTTTGTGCCGAGCATCAGCGGTTTTCGCGTCAAATGAGTGATATTCGTGTCAAGTGGTCGAACCTCTTCAGAAAATTCTAGCCAAGTCGGAGGTGTTTGTGCAGGTGTAGAAAAGGTAATGGTGAGTGGTGCCGAAATTCTTAAGATTGAGATGGTGGACGTTTCACAATAAAATTTTATCTGATTCAATGTGTTGCTACAGGACTCATATCAACACTTAGCCGACTTCATTTTCTTTTGTTATAGGAGTAACGATCAAGCTCATCGTGAGTTCAAGTTCCCACCATATTTTGTGTGCTGTCATTTTTGCTACACTTCGCGAAATTTCCTGGAACCGAAATACTCTCTCAAACGAGAATATATTCCGATAAAAGCTTCTACATTTTTGAAAAAAAAAACTAATAAATTCCTTAACGGGATTAATTTCTTAGGAGTTTGAACTGGTAAGCAGAGGCGGCAGATAACTTATTTCCGACGGCTACTGAATTTCCTGTTCCTGTGTCATCGAAAGGGCAGTTCTGGTTTTCATGTTACCTATGAAAGAAGTCCCTTCGGAATGTCTTTTGTTGATTCACAGAATGCAATAAGTTTTGGAAACTCACCGTGTCTGAGCGCGCTCAAGATTGCAAGAGGTCAACAAGAGGGAAGTTGCCCTATCAAAGCCGCCGTTTCTGAACTCTGCATCAGCCTCCTTGTACACATGGATTGCTCCGTCGCAGTCGAATGACCCTCCAGAACAGCGAACTTTATTCATTTTCCAAGTGGATGGTGATAACAGATAGTCACAAGGAAAAGTCAAATCGTCTCGACCATTTCAAATTATAGGTACATCTATACGAAGCCTCAAATGCTGAGTTTAAATCAGCTTTCGCTCTCTGCGGAACGATTACTGAAAGAAGTTATGAACCAGGAAGGCACTGAGTTTTGGGGAGCAACTAAGTTTGAAAAGGAAACGTCGTCAATGTTTCAGAGCGTAGTTCTTTACATTTGTATGGTCAAATTTGTCGAGGGAGTGGGAGTGTGAAAGTGTAATTTCAATCCTCTTTAAAGTTCCTCCCCTCCTCCTAGGCACACTCCGTACAACAATCTCCTGTATCACCTGTCGCCCCGTTGATCGTCGATTTGCTCGAGCGGGCGCCAGCAACGTCTCCATCCTTCTCTGTCGCGTGCTAGAGTGGTCCAGTGGATCCTCCTTGCTCGAGGGACACGAAGCCGTTCATTCTTTCGTTCAGAGCTTTCGTGAAGAAGTCTGACCGTCGAACCGGCGGGGTCCAGGTGTTCGTTTGACGTCCCGAGGGATCCAGTCCGTAACCGCTCTGGTTCAAAACGGTCATCGCAAAATCGCATGTGTCCGGCCCACTTTACCTTCGATTCCTTGGCGGAAACGGCAGCGTCCCTGATCTTCGATCGTTGGCGTAGTTCCGAACACCGGATTTCCCTCTGCACTTGCGTGTATAGGGTTATTCCTAGCATCGTCCTCTCAACAGCGCGTTGGATAACGCTGACCGCATGCTCGTCCGCAGAGTCCAAGTCTCTGAGGCGTAGGTTAGGACAGGAAGGACAGCGGAGTCGAAGAGGTGGGCACGGAGCCGGATGTTCTTCGTCTTCTTCACTACTCCCTCGATGTTATTGAATGCTCCCCATGCCGCTCGTTTCCTCCTGCTCAGCTCTGAAGCTATGTCGTTCATTATATTGATTTCTCGAAATCAGCCAGCATCTGTTCCGCTTGCTCGATGTGCGGCGTCATAAGAACGATGTCGTCAGCAAAACGAAGGTGGTGTAGTTGCCGGCGGTCGACCTTCCTCCCATGTCTTCCCTTTCCAGTTGATGCATGACGTTCTCGAGAGCGGCGCTGAAGAGTTTGGGCGAGATGGTGTCGCCCTGTAGAACCCCTCTCTTGACGTCGATGATGACCTCCTTGTAGAATGGTGAGATCCTGGTTGTAAAGTTGCTGTAGAGCTCACGAAGAATCTTGATGCACTGAGTAGGGACGCCCTGGTTGCTGAAGGCTTCGATGACTGCTTCTGCCTCCACAGAGTCGAAGGCCTTCTTCGAGTCGATGATCGTGAGACAAAGCGGCATCTTGTACTCCCGTGAAACTTCAATGAGTCTGGTTACCGTGTGCATATGGTCGATCGTGCTGAACCCCCTTTGGAACCGTTCTTGCTCGCGTGGCTGTCCTTCATCTAGTATTCTGCCGATCCTGTTAAATGACTCGAGTATTCAGCTTGTAGATTACAGAGAGCAGGCAGATTAGACGATAGCTGCCAATGTCGTCCAAGTCTCCCTTCTTGTACAGCAAACACTGTCCTGCTGGTTTTCCACGGAGTGGTTACCGTTGCATTCCGACAGGTAGCGCGTGAAGAGTGGAGCCAGAGGTTGATGATAACTGGCAGTGCGTTCTTCAGATGTTCCGGTTTGACCCTGTCGAGACCGGGCGCTGTACGATTCCTCACCGACTTGATGGCGTGTCGGACTTTGGAAGAGAACTGAGGGGACAACGTATCCATCCTCATGCGAATGATAAGTAGGCAGATGAACATGCCTATCCAAGAGATCCGAAAAGAAGTCGTGTATGACTCTCTACATTGCCCTTCGGGTGCAGTATTTGTTCCATCCGGACGTCATCTTGGTCTTGAAGCTGGCAAAGCTTCAGCAGGCATTGCAGATGCTCCTCCTAGCCTTTGCTGCTTCAGCTGATACTGCTGCTCTTCGCTCCTTGAGATCTTCCTTTATCGCCTCTCTTCATAGCTTCGCAAGCTCGGACGTGAGTCGGTAACTGCCTGCACTCGTGCGGCTCCACGCTGGTGTATCACGCAACAACATCCGTACAACGGTGGAGATTGAAATTGAAGATTGAGATAACTCACACACTGCCCTTTCTAGCCTCCTATGGATTAGTCTTAAAGAGGAGTACGGGAGGAGTAGGAATGTTGCCGTGTGGGTTCTCCGATTCTGATACAATGTGAAGCATGCAGTCATGAGTGAACTGCTCTTTATGGTGTCAACCTATGAAGACGGCTGAGTGTATCCGTGTGTAAACGCAGCGACACAGCACACGTGAACGCACATTCCGATCACATGCTCTGCTGTGACATGAATCTGTGTGAAGAAGCGATGTCTAAATATTCACGAAATTCCAACCAGACCTGGCGATTGCTCCTAATATGAAAAGCAAACTGAATCGTTTCAAAAAATCGACGCATGGAGCTGCCAGCTTCAACTCCTCTTATTTCAAAGTAGAGCGAAGAACTATTATGATCTAAAAGGCGATAAAATTTTTACTTTGACCACTCCCCCAATCAATGTTGTGATTCCAATATTACCCAAGCCTGCCTAGAAACCGGTACTTTCAGCAGAGATTTTGGCGCAAGCCCCGCCCCCTAGATGGGGCTCGCCTACTACCGCACCCATTATTGGCCAAGTCCTTCCTCTGAGCGAACACGCCTTATGAACATTTTGGCACCCATCCGGCGCCATGTCCCAATTGTTTTCTTAAGTCTACGTAGCGAGCGAGCCTAGAGGTTACAATCAGACACACACACACTCTAAACGACTGCTTTATATATAAAGGGGATAGGCCGTGGAGAGGCGCAGTTCATGGAGGTTCTTTTTCGTAAAAGAATTCTACCCATACACTCTTGTTGAAGAAAGCCGCTGCTGCAGTTGAAGCACAGGTTTCATGGCAACCACAAAAAGA